TCTGTCGTCCCCTTCTTCTTTTGCCCTCAATCATTCCCAGCATTAGGCTCTTCTCCAGTGAGTCCTTCCTTCTCATTAAATGGCCAAAGTATTTGAGTTTCATCTTCAGGATCTGGCCTTCTAAAGAGCAGTCAGGATTGATCTCCTCTAGGACTGACTTGTTTGTTCACCTTGCAGTCCAAGGGACTCGCAGGAGTCTTCTCCAGCACCATAATTCAAAGGCCTCAATTCTTTGGCGCTCAGCCTTTTTTTTTGGTCCAACTTACACTTTGAAATATCCTTTTCCCTCCTCAAGATATAAAGTACTTTTTTTTTTTGTCAACTGGGAGAAATATTTTCTGTCAAACTAAAATCCAAATCATCATGTCTCAAACTTCTGTTTTTCCTCTCAAGAATTGACATAATATATTTAGCCCCTCCTAACACTTAGATGAAAATTTTAGCTTCTGAATCCTTGCATGTTTTAGCATCTGCATCCTTTCAGCACTGAATCAACTTCTTAGCAGTACCAAGGTGTCCTGGAATGTATACCCCCAAATGTCAGTGCAGTTTTTAAAAAATGTTTTATTTCTATGAATCTAAACAGTAAATTGGTTCCCAACAAAAGTCATATAGCAAGAAGAGTTATGTGCAAAAAATGTAATAAAGACTTGAGGTACTGGAAATTTCTACTTTCTTAGTTTTTTATCTCATTTTCCTCTAAACCTGCTTACAAAATTTCTTTAAAATATCCTAGGCAATCACATGGTATGAAGGGAGTAAAATCTTTTTTGCATTAACAGCATACTTGTTTCCATTTAAAGTATGATTTTTGTAAGTTTTCCTTCACTATGGATAACTTTGCCTCTCTCTAGATTATCATCCAAGATCACAGATGTTAAAGAACCAAAAATGAGACAAAATCAAAAATAAACACCAGTTATGAAAAATACATTGGTTCTAAATATTATTAAACTAGAACCTCCAACCTCTGTAACTATGAAGGCTAATGGTGAAGGACAATGGAAACTCTAGGTTAACAACATTTGAAGAGACACAGTTTTCCATTTCTGCTTACATATGATAGGTTGGTATAGATTTTAAGCCAAGATTTGTACTTGTGACCAATTCAACTTCTTATGAATATCAAAATCAACTGATTAAGCTCTAAGGCCTTGAATTTCAGGAAATTTCAGAAAGCTTAATAACTAATCCAAATAATGTCTGTGATATATATAACATTTCCCTTTAATTGCACCTATTCCTGTTATTAGCTACCTAGAGTAACACATTGAATCAATCTAATCCATGGGTGTCAAACTCGCGGTGTCACGTTGCCGTCATGTGATGTTTCACGACATTTTTCCTATTCGCGGAGCTGGGGTGGGCGTAGCCGCACACCCGCCCCGCGGGCCACCAGTTTGACATCTCTGATCCAGTCCAGTCCAATCCAATCCAATCCAATCCAATCCAATCCAATCCAATCCAATCCAATCCAATCCAATCATACAGCCTTTCCCTTATAGTTATACTGTTTAGAATATCATATGGCTACAGATAGTTTTCATTTAATGTTGATTTTATGACTGTTCGGAGTTACAACGGCCATAGAATGGCCCATAAAGCCAAGCATCACAAATGGTCACACCAGCATCACCCCATGGTCACATAACTGCATGTCAGGTGGGTCAGCGGCATTCTGGAGTCACCTGGCCACCATTCACAATGTTTTTTGCCAGTTTCTGGCATTTTCTTGCCAGTTTCCAGCAAAAACACCCATTCAAATGAATGCTTCATTTAATGACCATGTTGAAAAACATCGTAAAATTACTTCCAGTCACATGAGTGCCTCAGTTTAGAACTGCAATGACTTGCAGCCATAATTTCAGGTTCGATTACACCATAAGGCAAGGTCTACCTTTGTGGCTTTGCTTTCTAAAAGGCTGTAGTAGTAACTGATGACTATGAGGAAACAACTGTGAACTTTCTTGCCTTTTCAGGTGTTCTTGTGACTTCAGCTGCTGTTTTACTGATCTGAATAGATAGGATCAGTGATTGATCTGAATCTCTCACAGCCAATAACTACTAGGGACTTCAGCAGTGATAATACTCTTTCACACTCTTCCCATTAAAATATTCACCACTTCATGGCCCTGTCCTGAGACTCGAAAATATTGGCTAAAAATTAAAGATTGGCTACAGGAAATTACTAACGAACAATTAGACTTAGAACCGGAACTCTTCCTATTGGGGATCTTCAAAAAAAATATTATATATATATATATACGAAGGGCACAAAATATCTACTACTACACATATTAACCACTGCCAGGATTGCCTATGCTCAATGTTGGAAACAACCATGTACACCCGCAGAGAAACTGATCATACAAAAGGTCATGAATTGCACAGAAATGGACAAATTAACGCTGAGTTTAAAAGATAAAGAGACATCGATATTTTACAATGTGTGGGAACAGTGGTATACAGTAACTGGATAGAACGGAGATAGATTTAACATAGATAGTTATTAAGTACAAATAATAGATAAAATAAGAATGTAAATACGCACAATTTAATTTTTGTAAATAATGCACGAATTATTGTCACAAGAAAAACACCACAATTAGCTGTTGTTAAATGAAATATTTTTTTATGTTTTTAATGTAATAAAAGTTTAATAAGGTGTGTATACATACATACATGTATGTATGTATGTATTCACCACTTCAACAGTGGTTATGCGGAACAACCCAGCAGCCCAAATATTGTGACCCTATTGAAGTGAGAGGACCCCAAAGAAATCAATTTTTTTCTACATATAAGTATGAATATAATTCCATGTAGCTATAGCAAATCAGAAAACAGTATTTCCATATTAGAGCACTGAGTTCATTGTTAGATTAACATTCAATAATGAAGGAGATGAATTCTGTGTACACAAGTATTTTTGGAAATCTGCAAGACAGGAATTGTACCTTAGTAGATGAATAGGTAACAGATAACAAAATCACAAATGAGGAGGTGATAAGCCGCCTGGGAAAGCAAAGGGAAATCATCAAAGCCATGAAAAAGCGAAAGTTAGAATATTTTGGACATGTGATGCGACACCCAGAAAAATATGGTATCCTTCACTTAATCCTCCAGGGAAAGATTGAAGGCAAATGAGGTCCAGGCAGAAGAAGAACATTTTGGCTTCAAAACCTAAGGGACTGGTTTGGACAAAACTCAGTAACATTTTTTCATGCGGCTGCTGACAAAAATAGGATTGCCAACATGATCGCCAACAGGTAGTCCTCAATTTACAACCACATTGAGCCCAAAACATCTGTTGATGAGACATTTGTTAAGTGAGCTTTGCCCCATTTTACGACCTTCCTTGTCACAGTCATAAAGTGAATCACTTCAATTGTTAATAATATGGTTGTTAAGTGAATCCGACTTCCCCATTAACTTTGCTCGTCAAAAGGTTACAAAAGGTGATCGCATGACCCCAGGACACTGCAACTGTCATAAATGTGGGTCAGCTGTCACGCATCTGAATTTTGAACATGCGGCCATGGGGATGCTGCAATGGTCATGTGAAAAACGGTCATAAGTCACTTTTTTCAGTGCCTTTGTAACTTTGAATGGTCACTAAATGAACTGCTGTAAATTGAGGACTACCTGTATTCTAGACCAGGGATCGGCAACCTTAAACACCCAAAGAGCCACAAAGGTCCTAACCAGAAGCCCCCATTCAGTTCTGGAGCCGACTGGAAGTCCACTTCCCACCTCATAGTCTCCTCCTAGCGCAGCGTCCTTTTTCGTCTGCTGACCGGAAGATGGTTCCCCCACCGTAGAGTCTCCTCCTAGCGCGGCATTCTTTTTCCTCTACCTGTCCTAATCGAAAGCCCTATCAATTGTGGAGCCGACCAGCAACAAGGAGCCGCAGCAGAGGGATGAAAGAGCCACATGCGGCTCCAGAGCCACGGATTGCTGACCCCTGTTCTAGACCATTGCATTATGATACCTCAAAAAGGATGGTACTGAGCCGTGAAAGTGAAATGAGCAATAGTATAACATCTTTATGAGGAAAAAGTAACAGAAAGTTAAGAAGAAAAATCCTGGGAAGAAGATATATTTAATCTACTTAGTACTTAGTCATCTACAATTAACTTTTTTTCATTAAACAATCCACTGACATAAATTATTGACATATATCTTCTGTTGCAAAAGAAAAGTTAAGCTGAGTCATAAAGTAATTTTCAAAAGAAAATTATGGAGTCTTTGGTGCTCTCTGAACTTAATTCTTTGATTACAGACATTTCATTACCCAATTAGGTAACGTCATTAGTGTGTTGTGAGTTTGAAAGAAGTTTGGAGCACACCAAGAACTCCACAGTTGAACTTTGAACTACCTGTATTCTATTCTATTCTCAAGATTATCAGCAAACAAAAGTAATTTTATAACTTGTCCTTAAATTTATGACTTTCCAGCATCCCCGCAATTACATGATTGCAGTTTGAGTGCTTTGTAACACTCTTCCAACTAATGAAGTTAATGGGAAAATCTAACAATAAAATCACAAGCCACAGTTCTGTTATGACAAAATGCCACAAAAACGGCCTACTTCTACCAAATTAGACCTAAACAACTTCAGTGTTCTTGTGTAAATGTGAAAACCAAAATACTATTAAAAATTTACTGTATACACTGTATATTTTACTGTATACTGTGTATTTTAATCTATTCATTCTATTATTACTGTGGAAATCCTACAAATGCAAAACCCCATTTAACCTTCCCATCACTCATCAGTCAACAATATTTTAGATTCAGATCAACATTTACCAAGAACAATTTACTCCAGTGATTAGATAGATATTTTTTGAAACCCTTTTTGGAAACATCCCTTAAGTGGAAAAGAGAATTGAAACTTTTATCAGAAATGTATTGTATAGCATATCAAAAATGAAAGACATACAGAAGCTTATTGGTTGAGTTCTATTAAAATTATGAAGTTATATTGTTCACTCACTGTTTAGTCACTTCAGGCATTTGGGGAAATTCCTTTTTCTTGTTTTCAGCTGATTCAACAGGAGTAAGTAGGGTAGCAGCACAGGAGACGATCGACTGATGAGAATCTTCCCGGCAAACTACAAAACAGCAAGAGTTTAGTTGCCAACGGTCCAACAATGCCTCCTGTTTCTGGATGTTTTCAGATTAGCATCTCATACGTGCACTATAGGGCTTCAAACAATATTGTGAGTGTGGGGCAAAACAGGTTATCTATCCAATGGTAGATTAATCCTTTTAATTAAGTTATGTAACCTTGATCCCAGGGGTGAAATCCAGCAGGTTCTGACAGGTTCTGGAGAACTGGTAGTGGACATTTTGAGCAGTTCGGAGAACCAGCATTGGAAATTTTGAGTAGTTCAGAGAAACCAGCAATACCACCTCTGGCTGGCCCCAGAGTGGATTGGGAATGGAGAATTTGCAATATCTTTCCCCCAGGAGTGGGGAGGGAATGGGGATTTTGTAGTATTCTTCCCCTGCCACGCCCACCAAGCCACACCATGCCCACCAAGCCACGCCCACAGAACCATTAGTAAAAAAATTTGGATTTCACCACTGCTTGTTCCTTCAAAAATACAGGAAGGAACATACTAAGTTTTGATTCTTTATCAATTATCTGAAATGACAGTATATGGTCCAGCAACAACACGCGAGGAACTAATAAATGGATGTCTGGGAAGGAAATGAAGTGCCATTGTTTTCCCTACACACTGGGGAATTCTTAACATGCTCTGATAGCTTTTTGTATGCTCTCTACTGCTAGCATCTGGCCTTCCTCTAAGTTCAAGGCTTGTCAGGGAAGGATGACAAAGAAAAAGAACTGTAACCTACTCATCGGAGTGATATGTAATAACACTTAAAAAGCAACAATTTTTTAGGATTCTGTTCCAATGCTGACTTTCCCCCTGTGGCAGGCGACTCAGAGAAAACAGTTATTGTTAAGTACATGGTAGATATGCAGTGGTTTAATTGTTCCAATAAAGTTGTTAATTAGTATAGCTATGATGGGGTTCTTTAATTATATTTTATATCTGAATCTAGATTAAATTCTTTACCCACTTTTATAGTCACTTGGTTTAGGAGGCTCTGGAATCAAGTGAATACTTGATGCTAGATCTTCCCAGTCTAATGTATGAAGCACCTTAACAGTGCTTCAGTCTATTTGTCTGTCTGTCTGTCTGTCTGTTTTTGTTTTCCTTTGTCAGATGCCACAGAACTTGCATGAGTTTATGCAGTCTAAAAACTATAAAACACACCCAGGCTATATGTCTACATTTATGTTACATTGAGCTTATCCTTATTTTGCTTCAAATTCTGATCGAATGACAGTGGTTATGCTTCTCAGATACACGACAATTGCTAAGGAACTTCTGTTCTTTAAACTGTTAGCTGCCAAAACATGATTACAGACAACAGTATTCCCCAAAGCATTGGTTGCTATAAATCTGCAATTAAGCCACAGGCCAGGTTCTTTAAACACTGCAGAGCCACAATGACAAAATTGTAATTACTGTAATAGGACCATTACTAGCAAATGAATTACACCCAATCAAGCTTTGCCTATTTTCTCCTCCTTTCACAACAGCCACAAAGGATGAAGTTATATTTGCTTTGTGGTATCAAGACAGGATCCCAAAAGAGGAGGCTGAAACTGACTTATTTAATGAAAAGAGATGTCATGTATATGAAGAGCTTTTAGGTTCCTTGGATCTCATAATATGAAGCAAAATAGCATGATTCAACTGCCTTTATAATGGAATCCATAAAGCAAAGGAAGATTTTCAGCCACAGATTATGCAGAAAAATACACCTGTACCTGAACCAAGGATTCCACACCTCGAACTACAGGTAGTCCTCAATTTACAACCATTTGTTTAGTGATCATTTGAGGTTACAGAGGCACTGAAAATGTGATTTGTAATCATTTTTGATACTTATGACCAGTGGTGAAATCCAAATTTTTTTACTACCAGTTCTGTGGGCATGGCTTGATGGGCATGGCAGGGGAAGGATACTGCAAAATCTCCATTCCCACCTCACTCCAGGGGAAGGATACTGCAAAATCCCCATTCCGTCCCCACTCCCAGGGGAAGGATATTGCAAAATTTCCATTCCCACCCCACTCTGGGGCCAATTGGTCAGCCAGAGGTGGTATTTGCTGGTTCTCTGAACTACTCAAAATTTCCACTACCGGTTCTCCGAACTGCTCAAAATTTCCGCTACCAGTTCTCCAGAACCTGTCAGAACCAGCTGGATTTCACCCCTGCTTATGACCGATTGGAGCATCCCCATAGCCACATGATAACAATTTGGATGCTGGGCAACTGGCAAGGGTCAATAACCTTTTGCCTTCTGCAAAATCAATGGGTCAGATACATTAACTTAACAAGCATGCTGCTAACTTAACAACTTCAGTGATTCACTTAACAACTGTGGCAAAAATGACTAATTTTTAAACTGAATTTTAAAAGAAAATCATCATTTGGAATGTTGCTAACGGTTGGGCCATACCACATTAAAATGAGCCAAATTCAAATAATATAAACCACTGGTATGAAAGTTGACATATTCTGCTGCCTCAAACAACAGATGTGTTTTATATGCAGCACCATCTCCAACAAGGGTGGATTGCCACTTGTTTATTTGCTAGGTTTTGTTCGCTTACTGTAGTTCGGTTTTTATTCTAGCTTTTCTAAGGGATCTTTCTAGATAATCATTTCAAAAGCCAAGCTGCACCTCTTGTTTAATTGATACAGTTTTCCCACCTATGAATTAACTAGTAATAATACTATGTTAACTTCTTTTAAATGTCTTAATAAAGAAAATAAAAAGCACTCAAAGAACGAAACAGTCAAATCATTTTATAATTTAAAAGTTCAGCCACGCTAAATCGACTTTTGTATTATGCAAAAATAACAGAACTCCATCCTCAAAACACTGGAACAAGCATCAAGCAGCTCTTCATCTTCATCTTCATCTTCATCTTCATCTTCACTTCTGCTTTTAAAAAGCCCTTGAACCAGTGGTGGGTTGCTCCCGGTTCGGCCCGGTTCAGCCGAGCCGGTAATGGTGACGATGTGACGTCACTAAACCAGTACTCTTAGACTGGGAGCTGGGCCCTCCCGCCCACCCCCGCTTTATTCCTATCTTTATGTCTTGTTTTTTAGCCCAGCTGATAGGTGTGGCAGAGTCGATGGCCTCACCTCAGCTGGGCAGAAACCTAACATGCTTGCGGGGAGTACAAGTTCGGCATACGTGCAAGCAAAGAGAGCATGTGTGTGGCGATTATGTGCAAAGTGCATGCGCGAAGAGAACCAGTGGTAACACCGGTTGGAACCTACCACTGCCTTGAACTGAGTAGGGTTTTGTTTTTATTTGCAACTCTAGGGAGACACAAGAGATTTTGCTCCTGCCTTCTAGGCAGGGGTGGGTTCTATCTACCTTTACTACCGGTTCGCAACAGGGCCACGCGCGCACCCTTCTGCGCAGAAGCTTCTGTGCATGCGCAGAAGCGTTCTGATGACATTGGGGTCAGTGGGCGGAGCCTTCTGCCGGTTTTACTACCGGTTCTGTAGAACCAGTGTGAACCGGGGGCAACCCACCACTGCTTCTAGGGTATGTTTTCCAACAGCTCAATCTAGTCCAATTTTCTCAACTAGGGTTCCACAAGACATGAATAAGGGAGATGCAAGGTATTGTGATATATTTTTAAAAACATTGTGCACTGCAACAATGCTAGTATTTACAGTGGTGAGATTTTATTTTTATATGCTGTGACTAAATTGCAGGTCTGCTATTTGCTATTGCTGTAAATAATGTACGGCATGAATTGTGTAGGTTTTATAAAAGTGAATGGTTTTCCGAAGTGTTGATCTCTTTTGTGATAAGAGAACCTGAGACCTGAAAAATATCCCAAGGGTTATTCCAAAAAGGTTGAGAAAGACTGGTCTAATTTATGGCTGTAAGAAAACAATTTCCAAAACTCCATAGAAACAGAATAGGGAAATATCTTGATTTGCCACATTGTTCTGCAACAAGACAGAAAGGATTAATTTATGTTTTACTTTCTTTTATTGAAACAGACAATGTTCACATTTCACAATTCTTTAGGATTCTCTCGCACATCCGTAAACAGACATAACACTTCACCTTGGTGCTTTACATTAAAAGCTCCCTCTGGTAAGAAATGGAGCAATCAGACAGATAGTCACACAGAGTGTTGTTTCTTGTTTAATGTACATTTACTTTGGTTCACAACTCTGAAATCACTACTCAAATTAAAACACAATTATCCTTAAATATCCACATTTTACTGTACTTTATGATGCAATTATCCAATAAGCACATTCAAATGTGCATATTCTAGAAAAAAATCCAAAAATGTACATATAAAGGAAAAGACCTTACGAAACTCACTGTAGGAATATTAGGAAGGTATTACAAAAAACTATCAGGAATTGTGAGCATGAATTCAGGTAGACCATAACTGAGCCCAAAATTTCAATAGCTAAGCAAGACAGTTAAGTGAATTTTGCCCCATTTTACAACCTTGCTTGCCACAGTTGTTAAATGAAACAAGCAGTGGTTAAGTGAATCTGGCTGCCGACAAGCTGTTGATCTGACTTGTCAGAAGCCAGCTGTTTGGTTAGAAATGGTAATCATATTAACTCGGGATAGTAACATTGTCAGAAATACATGCCCGTTGCCAAGCGCCTGAATTTTCATCATGTAATCATGGGGAAGCTGCAACGGTCACAAGTGTAAAAACTGGTCTTAAGTTGCTTCTTCCAATGGCATTGTAACTTCAAAGGTCATTAAATGAATGGTTGTAAGACAAGGACTATCTGAATATGCCTATATGGGCTTCATTCTAAGTTAAAGTAATCACAAACCCCTCTAGAAAAGGAGGGATGGTGGAATGGGAAAGAAGAGATACTGAAAGAGTCCTATTTATCCAACAAAAGAGAAAATACATAACCATGCACATACATAAACCAACTGGTATCTGTACTGTGGCCATCAGCCTCCCCCTCCTTCCTCCCTCCCCCCTCCCTCTCCTCCTCCCTCCTTCCCTCTCTCT